CTTCGACAGGAGGACCAGAGGAGAGAGGGCTCTGTGTGCGAGCCTCCTCTGTATGTCTCCTCCCAGGAGATGGACACACTTGGCTCTCCAAAGATTTCATATCCAAACAGAATCACTGCTCTCTGTCTCTGCATAAATGGCTGTTTAATTCAAGAGCACAGAGGAAGCAGCATCATGGCCTCCTCTCTCTTTGGAATGCACTTTGTCACACCGTGAGGGTTAAATATATCTTTATTTTCTAGACAGCTTTGAGGACGTTTGCTGACTGGAGGCAACAACAAAATGCCAGAAATACACTTTTACTACGTTCGAATTTTCAACACAAGTTGGATTTATGACATTCATGAAAATGAACCTTTTATCTCCATTAAATTCAGTTTATTTATATGACAGCAAGTCACAACAGAAGTCGTCGCAGGGCACTGAACAAAAACATTCACAAAAGCCAATTAGTAAAAGTTCTCCATCTAAGGAAGCCAGCAGATTGAATTGAATCTTCACTTTGTCACAGTCTCCCATTTGGAGCAAGCACAAAGGCAACAGTGGAAAGGAAAAACTCCCTTTTAACTGAAAGAAACCTCCAGCAGAACCAGGCTCAGGACGAGCAGCCATCTGCTTTGACCGGCTGGGTTTGAGAGGACAGGAAGGAGAAACAACCACAGAATGGCAGGTCCAGGTGTTTCTATTAGAAGAAAGACAAATAAAAACACTTGTGAAGGATATAAATAGTTACAAATAGATAGAAGTCCCCATGGAATGTAGTAAATGTTGTTTACTGTGCGTAAAGAGCCTTGAACTTGAAAATGAACTTGTCATTTTAGTCAAATATCCCATGAACCACTGGATGGATTTGAACATAATGATTATAACTTATTCATTGGATGTTTAACTGGTTAACCTTGTGAGAATTCAAGATGGCCGTCACCACTTATCAACCTGAGCAAACGTAAAAATGTTATAAATTTGTCAATTTTAAAGATTTTATCTAATATTTGAAGTGGTAGTAGCTGGGAGTGTTGAGGTTGAGGTGATCAGGCAGTTAGGATAGAAACTCACAGATTTATCTAAACGAACTAATAGGAAAATAAAAGGATAATTTAAAAGGGAACAGATGATGCATGAACAACATGAACCTGACAGAGACTGCAGGGACAGAGGAGTGAACGGACAGGGAGGAGCGATAACAGAATGACAAATAGCTGGACTAATGAGCAGATGAGGAGCAGGTATGAGAAACAGAGCCGTGTCAGGAGAGCTGAGGGAAAACATTGGCTAGAAACATGAAAATACTAAAAACTGCCAGACCAGACTAGTAACACAAAACACAGACGATAACTAACAAGCTGCAGACAACTTGTAGAAAGAAACCACATAACTAAAACATTAAGAACAGATGACGAGGTACTAAGAAAAATCTAAGCAGATTAAATAAATCACAGCAACAAAACACAATGACAATCATTCGCACTAAGCCCTAACAGATCACACGGGAAGCATATTTATCATCCTATTATTTCATTTAAAAGATTTGACCACATTGAACACATTTTACTGGTGGATTTTGTTTGGTCTTATGAGATTGCTTTAACAAGTTATTTATCATGGATTTTGGTTTTTGTGCAAGCAGCTACTGTGACAGCCCTAAGTCCAAAACAAAATTCAGTACGGGGGAAATAAAAGTATATCACAAATTATAAAGCATTGATCAGTGTTGTGTCCTCTTGCTTTTTGTGTTTTATTGTAAATGTATGTATTTACAGAGCAGAGGCTGTGCTTAATGCTTTATTGGAATAAAAGAGCCTCACATTTAGTGGCATCAAAGCTGCACAGATTGAAAATAATGTGTTACATGATGACACAAGCAAAGAAACACTGAAACTGTTGCTGCTGTCCTGACCTGAGGAAAATCCTCTAGTCTTTCTTTGTAAATGTATGCTAAGAAAGCTTGAAAGAAAACCTTATAAAAGAAAAATCAAAGTTTGGTCCTCTGGCAATCTGCACATAAACATCACTCTCGGCCACGTGCAAATGGGAGTCACTGATGCAAAACACTTGTCAGAGGAAATAATGCTCTGAATACCTCATGATAAAACAGATTTCTTGCATCCTCTGAGGGTAATGGCAGACATGTGTTTCGGCGTTTTGTGTGCCCAATCCTTGCAGAGATTGTCAGCGTAAATTATTCAGACTAACTTGAGTGTGCGCTTAAATGTGCTCTTCTTAGCCGCGGTCTTGTCTATAATAGATAGTCACTCCCTTCATTATTGAGATATTATTCTTTTTGCATGAAATCAGAACACTTCTTTGTGATCAACAAATATTTAGATGGATCGAAGTAGAAGTGGACCACAGTGATAAAGCAAAGATCAAACTGCTCATGCATATTCATGAAGAACTGAAAAGTGATCTTTCACCCATCTCAGAAAAAGTCAACTATTCACTGAACTGTAAGGAAATAAAACCAGTGAAAGAAATAATATTTTTTCTGTCTTTATATATATATATATATATATATACACACACATTTAGAAAACTACACAGTCTTAGTTGCTGTGGTATAAAAGGCATAAACTAAATGTACTTTATTAATTTAACAATCCAGGAAGTTGGTTTCCTTCTTCAGGCACAAGAGAATATAAGTGTGTTAGATGTAAGCGTTAGATATGTTGTAGGGTTTAGTAAGCTGATGCATTTAAAGATATCCTCCAGGAGCCTCGCCTCATCCAACTATGACTCTTGGGTAACCTGTTCATGAATTGTGCAGCGCGGCATGCCTACTTGGCGCTTGATTACTTAGTCCGATGTGACTGTGCAGGCATTATTTATTAATGCTGGATGAGAAAGATCAGTTTCACTGTCCACCGGCTGGTGAACCCTTTCAGCCTCTCTGTTTAACCAGAATGCTGTGACTCGGTGGCATAATGCACCTCCCATCTGCAGACAATAGAAATCAAAGATCACTATATCTATGATTGTGCTCTTGAAACAAAGACATTGGAGCTGAAGGACAGAAACTGAGTTTTTTGGAATGGTTTATCTGCTCAGAAACACATTTTAAAGGGATGGAGTTTGGAATTGTAAGTACAGTTTGTTACTTGACATTGATGACGAGAATCCTGTAAAAAAAATGGTCATACTGTCGATATAAAATTTGACTAACCTTTTGTATTTTGATTAGTATGTGTAACTTCTGCAGCACTAAATGCTGCCGTGGTCATTGATAACATGTTGGCACTTGTAAAATAGATGAACATGGCTCCAAAATCATTGGAGTTGTTCTAAATATACAACAGTGAAGGCCGTACCCAGTTAATGTACTGTAGGTCAAATAAATCCATATTATATGGAAACACTAATATCCCCCACACCACTGTTTTAGGAAACAAATCAGATTGCTAAGAATATTGAGAGATCTAAAAGTCTTGTGCAAATAAAAAAAAATACACTTTTCACTTCCACATGTGCTTTCATAAATAAATGAGGATTTAATGCATCAAATAGCACTTAAGTGTATTTTATTTAGTAGTCTGGGTGCATTAAGCTGAAGTTAAGTTACCAGTACTTTTTTTGGAGCTGACTAGAATAAAAGAAAAACTTAAAAGTTTTAAAATCTTTTGCAACTTCTTTTCAGTCTTTACTTTGAATCTCATGAGGTTGTCACGATGTTAACATGCAAGCACACTGCACACAAATGATCGTTGGTACAGGAACTGGGGAAACATTTAAAGGGAAAGAAAGAAGGGCTTTGAATAATGAATGCGAAGAGCCCTGTTACATGGCAGACAAGCCTTTGAAGTGACATAACTTACTGCTTTCTGTGTGCCGGCACAAAAACAGAGATGAGGGCAGCAAAAAGACAGGAAAATGTTTTAACCAGTCAGATTTCTTCTTTTTAAACCTCAACTTTTCCAGTTTGTGGAACAATATAGGGACTATATTACATATAGAACTGTGTATTGTTACAAAAACAGTCCTGACATCTAGAAATAAAAGAAATTTCATGCCTATCAAAGCACAAGGATTCGGCATTACAACTCTGCCTGTGTATCTAGCTTACATAATTAATTAGATTTGTATCCACTGAGTGAACTGTGCCTATGGAAACATTGTTTGTCACACTGGAATTGGGCAGTCTTTAATCACTTGACTTAAATTGTTTCTCATTTAATTTATTTAAATTGTTAAGTCAGGGACAGCACAAAAATGTGTTACATAGTTAAAACAATGTGATTATTACAGGCCTTGGCCAAAGACTAATTCTCTGATCTTGTAAAGGATTGGGCTTTATTTTTAATTTTATAATACTTTATTTTAAAAGTACTAATAAGTGAGATATCTAAAATGACCTAAAACTAATTACAAATAAGGCTAAGATAAATTTTTTTAGGAAAAGAAAAATATTGTCCATTTTCAGCTATATTAGGCTGGTGACCATCAAAGTTCACAAATCTGTCCTTGTTTGAGACATTATTTTACATGAGAGTTAAAACTTCTAAAGTCTGTTAATAATTTGGCAAACTGTTGTGAATCTAAGGACCTCCAAATAAACAAAACTTGTCCAAATGTGTTGAAACGTGTCTGTTTACATTCAGTTAACTGCACTTTTTATTGTAGCTTCTGTACTGCCGGTTCTGACAATAATTTAATTTTAGCCAGTGTGACACCATATACCTGTTCAAGTGTTAGCATTTATTCCCATAACGTCGTCTGCAAATATCTGACATTGAACAGCTTTACAATTTTCAGGAAGTTCAATAATGAACAAAATAAATTAAAAAACCTAAAACAAAACCTTGTGGAATGCCCATTTTGCAATGTTGTCTGATTTCATTGAAGACCATTGTTTATAATTTCAAAAATCTTGGCAAATATTTATTTTAGATTGGTTTTGCTGTCAGATTTGTTCCGTTTTGAGCCATTAGTTAGAAAGAACTATATTTCAGTAATAATAACTGATTGAATTCTCTGGCTTTTTTCCCTCTCCAGCCACAGGTCCAAATCCTCAGGCTGGCCTCCGCCTTCAGGGACCTGGAGCTCTTCCCAGGGGCCCCCAAATGGATGGGACATGGGCACCATTAGAGAGGGGCGTGACTGCTACATCAAGTAAGTGCCCTATGTTTATAGAAACCGAGGGGGACAGAGGGGGATTGCTCTGTCCCTGATGTTTCAGAGGCTTTGCCAACCTGTGATTATTCCAGCTACGTCACTGCCTCCACACTGTCTCCATCGGTGCGTTCAGAATACAGATTTCTTTTTTTTTTTTGGTTCTCCCTCTACTGCTGCGCTCTCACTGCCCCTGTCGACTCTTTCTCTCTCACGCTCTTGCTCATACACCCACAGTACTCCTTATGCTGTCTCCCAAACGCAGAAGAGGAGTTTAGAGAGTGTGCACTGCTGCAGCTCATTAAATCCACCTGCTCGGGTGCTTTTTTAATTTTTTTTTATTTTTATCTTTATGTTCCTCAAGGACGTTGTTATCATGTTATCAAATTAATTGATCCTTGTTAGCTGGAGCTTGTGGAAATCTGTGCAGACAGGTAAAAAAGGAATTGCTATTGTGTTTGTGTATGGAGTAACAAGTGAGTGTTCTGTCTACAATGAACTGGAGAACATTGTAGTGCATTGTATGTTTTTTAGTAATTGTTTTCATTAAATACTATCAAAATTAATGAACTGTACAGCAGTAAAGTATTCCTTTCTTAAGAAAATATCTATGCATGTATTTCTAGGATGTATGAGAGTGTAGCGTTGTCACACTAGGGTTATGGCACGAGAAGTGTGATGTCAGAGGAGTTATATAAGAAGTGAGGAGCAGTGAAAGTGCTGGATGTGGAGTGTGTCTGCATGAGGCGAATCAGGGAGACTGTTAGGCTGTAGCCTTTGCCTTTTAAATTTGAGAAAGACTCATGAATAATCAAACGTCTTCTTCCCGTGACTGTCTGTGGCTGAGTTTGTGCTGTTTTGGCACCAGGGTGCCGATATGATTGTGTGTGCGTATGTGTGTGTGTGTGGGGGGTCGTTGGAACACATACACAGCCTGCCTGACAGGAGCATATGAATAAAGTAACAAGGCTTTTATATTTAGTAGGTTGCACTTATTTTTTTTTCTCAAATTGTTGTGTACTTTAGAGAGCGTTGCACAATTATTGTGAAGAGGTAGTGAGAGTTCATAAATCATTATCATCAGGCTAACAAAATCTGAAGCAACACTCTTGTTGAATCAGTAGTTCAAAGCTTGAGATGGCAAACTATTAATCTTTAAATATGTCAATTTATTTAACTTTAAATTTAATATATTTTGTAGTTTTCCAAAGTTTGCTTTCTTAGAGCGATACGACACAGAAAAGATATAAATATGTCTTGTGTTCCTCAAAGGTGAAATGGAAATTCCTCAGGACCAACAAATTGTGAATCTCATCAAAGCAGGATTTTGGAGCAAATGTAACAGGATATTGCTTTTAGTAATAGGCTTATGCTCCACTCTTTAGCTTACCCTGCACAGTCAAAACATGCTGCAGGGAAAAATTCTGTGCAATGAGAATCAGGGCAGGCTTGTTGTTCATCTTGTTCTAAAGCTTTTTACGTGGATTGTGGTTTTATATTTAGATGTAGGGAGCTATGCTAGCAGCTAATGGGTATGATTAGGGAGCATCAGATGCATGGCTGTCTGAACAATGGGAAACCAGCCATGTTTAGCAGGTGGCCATGAATTGGAGGGAACAGTTCTCCTCCTGAACGCACAGGTCCATATGTCTTTGGTTTGTGCGTAAGCTGCCGACTTCATCATCGCAAAACTGACAAACAAATGGACTGCATCTTAAAGCAACTTTTTTCAAAGTCTGAAGGGCTACATGCAGTGACTGTTCATAAAGACAAACATAATATTTGCAGAGTGATTACTTGTTAGCAGTGGTGATTTTAGCCTCCGTTTGGGGGTGCTCAAGAAGCACCCCTAAATTTTAACTCAGCACCCCTGAAAAATTGAGAAACCATCATTGCAATTTTGTAAGGAAGCTTAGTTCTCAGACCTTAGATTCACCAAAATATTAAATGCATTTAAATACATTTATTCCAAATATAAATGTGGAATAAATGACTGTCTTAAACGGGCCAGTAAAATCTATGATTTATTTTGCACGAGTCGGATCCTCAACACCACCTGTCAATCAATCCAGCAGGCTTGTCAGCAACTGATCAATCGGTGACCTCAGTTTGTTCCGAAGTGAAACATCACATACCTGCAGGAGCTACACCCCATTTTTTAAATCTGCCAACATAGGCAGGGTTTTGCATTATGAACGCTTTTGAAAAATTGTTAGGATGCGTGAGAAACGGAGTGTGCTCTATTCACACAAGGAGAGCTGTTGTTCAGGTTACTTCTTGTTGCTCTAAAATATTTATTGAATCAAGTGTTTACTTATGTAGGTAAATGTAGATGTTTAACAAGCCATTAAAATGTACAAGAATGCAGGAAATGGCATCTACTTTATTAAAAATTTTAAGGGGGAGTACCCCCCCCCACCACCACCACCACCACCAGTGTGTCCCCACCACATTATCAATGTTTCTGATACCAATGGCCATCGCATTGTTCAAGCTATGCGCTATGGTCAGCACTGGGGGGCTAAGCGTCCCAAAAGGGCATATTCTAGAATTGCCTCTGCTTGTTAGAATTGATTTGTTGCTTTATTTTAAGACAAAATGTGTCACTTCAATATCAAATAATTAAGTGGGATTTTTCCATTTTACATGGAAATGGTACAGTTTAAGCAAACTGATGTTCAAAAGCATCACTTTTTAAAAATCCATGTGACGTTCTAGACCTTATTAAATAAATCTGGTTATACCTTTTATTTTTCAGTAATGTGTTGGATAAACAATTTCATTACAGTATAGCTGTAACTGTCTCTCTGACACTGAAGAGGAACATTTTCTTAATGTTGGCTAAATGTGTTTCTCCCATAAGAACCTTCAGTAAAAATTGTGTTAAGGACAAAATAATGTCACAGTAAAACCATGCTGAACACAAATTTATTTAATAAATTAATCTGAGCTGGGAGCAATATTGAGAACTGAAAATTAATATTTATTGTCTTTGAGTCCATAAGCAATGTTGCAACAAAAGCCCCAGCATGGTTTTATTCAGTAAATTCAGCAGTTTTCGAATGTGGTGTGAAGATCTCACTGTGGCTCATGCAACAAGTGAGGGGTCTTGAGCTGATTTCCAAAATTTATTTTAGACTATTGCTGAAAGCTCAGTTATGCCAAAATGTAGCTCCTTGGCAAAGTGTATACACTTCAACCAGCAACGGTTGGAATTGTTTTTCAGTGGCTCAGAACCTGAAGGATTTAGGAACCACTGGTGTGGATCACAATATGGGCTCAGGGACATTTCTGAAAGCTCTTTTCCATGAACTCAAACCATCACTGCAGCCACAAATGTACAACTTCATTCCAACATGTCAAACTTTTAGGAACCAAACTGTCATCAGCTGAGGTTTTAAGACTGAACCCACTGGTGCAGGCAGGACACTGAAGACTCCAAGGTGTAAAATAAATATAATTTATTCAAATAAACAAACATGCTGGTGGCAGCAAAAATGTACATTTAACAGGAGATTCTGGGAATCACAGGGAGCGAGGTAGGCATGAAGAGACAATGACTAGTTGACGTAGACTTATATACAAATACTAATGAGACTTAAACACAAAACAACTGTGAAGCATCACAGGTGTGGGAAGCAGGGGGTAATCACAAAAGGGAAAGCAGGACAAAAACCCCACACAAGAGGAGGCCACACACCAGGAAAACACAATCCCTATGCAAATCCAGATAAGATAATCTTCCAAACAGTCTGAGAAGACGGAGAAAACTCTTAAGGCTAAAGTATTTAAAATCTGAATGACTGAATGATGGCAGCACGGTGGCGCAACTCGTAGAGCTGCTGCCTCTCAGCAAGCAGGTCCTTGGTTCAAACCCCGGTCCAGGGGCCTTTCTGGGTGGAGTTTGCATGTTCTCTCCGTGCATGCGTGGGTTTTCTCCGGGTACTCCGGTTTCCTCCCACAGTCCAAAAACATGCATGTTAGGCTGATTGGTAACTTTAAATTGTCCCTAGGTGTGAGTGAGAGAGTGAATGATTGTTTGTCTCTATGTGGCCCTGTGATGGACTTGCGACCCGTCCAGGGTGTACCCCGCCCCTCGCACAGTGACTGCTGGACATGGGCACCAGTGACCCCCGTGACCCAAAATGGAATAAGCGGGTAAAGAAAATGGATGGATGGATGGATGACTGAATGATGGACAACACATCCTCAGGACTTGAGCACAGAGAAATGTTGATTGTTAATAGTAAACAGTTAAAGTGACCATCTGGCCATCAGCGTGTGTTTCATGATAAGTACTTGTAATTTATTTTAAAGGGAGCATAATTACTGAGCGGCAGCACGGTGGCGCAACTGGTAGAGCTGCTGCCTCTCAGCGAGCAGGTCCCTGGTTCAAACCCCGGTCCAGGGGCCCTTCTGGGTGGAGTTTGCATGTTCTCTCCGCGCATGCGTGGGTTTTCTCTGGGTGCACCGGTTTCCTCCCACAGACCAAAAACATGCATGTTGGGCTGATTGGTAACTCTAAATTGTCCCTAGGTGTGAGTGAGAGAGTGAATGGTTGTTTGTCTCGTTTGTCTCTATGTGGCCCTGTGATGGACTTGCGAACTGTCCAGGGTGTACCCCGCCCCTCGCACAGTGATTGCTGCACATGGGCACCAGCGACCCCCGTGACCCAAAAATGAAATAAGCGGGTAAAGATAATGGATGGATGGATAATTACTGAGCATTTTATGAAAGTTTAGGACAGACATGCAGGCAATGTCATTATCAAGGAAGTAATTGTTTATTTCAACAAGTTATTGTCAATTTGAGCACTCATTAAAGCAGCAAATAATTTGTATGCTAATCTGACTTTTTAACAAACCCGTGTCTGATCTGCTAAGCTCTGGAATGTCCATGTCTAGGAAAAATAGGGATCTTAAAACTATTATTGTGCAAAATAGAAATAAGCTCATTGTTTTAAATCATGTACAATTAAAATTAAGTTAAGCAAATATTATTGTCTGTAGTGTCTTGTATTAGCGTTCCTTTCTTGGTCGAATATAAGATTTTAAAGTCTTGAAAGTTATTCCAGCTTGAACTTTTTTTTACATTTTCTATAGCGTCAAAATGTTAGAAGAAATTAAGTTATTTTAAGTGAGGCAGACTTAGGGCATGCACTTAAATAAAAATGGCAATCTAAAAGAACGTGTGGGCAAGTTGTGTCAAATACATCATTTGAGGTTCTGCAGGTTTTTGAAAACATTTGAATTAATTTAGCAGTAGTGTCATGTAGCTTGATGCTAATCAGTGGTAATTGATAAACTCTAGGATTTTAAGATCTCCTTGTGGATGAACTTGTAGAACCAATGGTATAATTTTTTTTATTTATACTTTTCCCTCTTTCAGTTTTGAGATATTGAACTGGAAATTACATTTTTATGTATTTCTATGTCTTTGCTATTAAAAAAATAAAACAGCTGGATACTCTTATAAAATATTAGCTGTCAATCAGTCAACATTTCTGAACTTGCTATTCTTTGGCTTTTTTCTTCATGGTCTTTAAAATCTGACTGGCAGATTTCACTGTCTTTGTGCCATGAGAGATTAATTGTTGGTATTTAGCAGTGAATAGAATGTGTGTTTAAAAATAACTGTGAATTACACACTGTCTTGCCAAGAGCTTTAATTAACCAACATTGTTGGCGCCATATGGAGTTGCTGCTGCTGGTTCTACAGTCGTGGATGTGAAGAGACGCTAAAAAAAATTAAATCTCAAAATGTGTGAGAGTTGCTTACAATTTGTGCATATTTCTGAAAGCTTGAAATACTGAGAAAAAAAATGTTGTAGATTGTCTCAATGATTGATCAGCTCAAGGTGATTGACGGATAAATCTCTGGTCAGATGTTCAAATTGCAGAAACATATTTATTTTTTGTTATACGCTCATGTACACTCATGTAGCTAACTGGTTGGCCAGCTCTGTAAACTAGAAATTAGCATCACTTATAAGCATCACTTATACTTAAAAATGTACATTTTAACTATTTGTTCAAACATTCTTCTAAAAAAACCCACAATTGTTCAGATCTCTTATTGCATTAAATGGTTATTTACATAAAATTCTAGTTACAGTGAACCCTTGTTTTTCACTGGGGTTACGTTCCAAAAAGAACCTGTGATAGGCGAAATCCGTGAAGTAGTAACCTTTTTTTTTTTTACAATTATTATACAATGAAATACTCCATAATACATTCAAACCAAAGAACAAAACCTTTTTACAGGCCCAAGCATTTGTTTAACAAATAAAAGTACTGTATAAACGTTTTTTTACAAATAACTACTGTACTGGAGAGACTGTTTAGCCAATCAGAATGCAGAACACAATGCACGATGCAAATCTGTGGCAGCGAGACCGTGAAAGGTGAACCGCGTTATAGCGAGGGTTCACTGTATTTGCAACCACAAAGAGCAGCAGTTGCAGCTAACAGTAGCACTTTCAGCTGTAACATTTCCACCTTAATGTTTGTAATGGAAAAAAGATTGTTATGTAAAGGTTTAAAATTAGTGTTTGAATGAGCTACTATGGGCTGTTCAAGCTTGGAGCACTAATCTGGGTATTGAATCAAGCTTGGTCAGGCTGTTAGCTCATGAATCGAGACAAATATAAACCGAGGTTGGCCAAAGAGCTATATGTAACAAGTAATATATTAATATTTGTAGACTTTTCACAGGATCCCACTTCAAAAGGTTTGGACTATTGCTTTAATAGTATGCACAGCACCACACTAAAGTGACTCATAATGTGTCAAAGAAAAGCTAATAAATGTTTACTCATTCCTTTAGCCACCTCTCCCAGAGCAGCTCCCTGGAGGAAGTCCGTCTAAATGGAGACAAGTTTGTGCCGCCGGCGCCCCGGAAGGTGGACATGAGGCGAGACCCCGTGCTCGGCTTTGGATTTGTGGCCGGCAGTGAGAAACCCGTAGTGGTCCGCTCAGTCACACCAGGTAACGTGACCCGTCAACACTGACTCATTCAGTCTGCAGCCACAGCTGCATGAACATGGGATGAACTACTCTGAAAATGTAGCTTGGAGGAAAATCCACTTATGCTGATGATTCACTGATTTTAACAGCAGTGGATGAGTAAGCGTCAAGTAGAGCTTTGAGCCAGAATACAGAACACTTCAAAAATTGAGACCACTGCGTACAATTTCAGTGCCTGAAGTTTGGTGTGTTGGCAGGGGGTCCGTCTGAAGGCAAGCTGATCCCAGGGGATGAGATCATCATGATTAATAATGAGCCAGTCAGTTCAGCTCCCAGAGAGAGAGTCATCGACCTCGTCAGGTAAACCTGAAGTCAATCCTGTTGTTGATAATTGAATAACAGAAGAACAAGCAATTTATTGGTAATTCCACTCAAATGTCTTTAGCTTAACTATTTACTATTTTTTGTCATCAGCTATTTAACATTCATTGACATGTGGTTGATGGCTGCATCCATCATTCTACTGTATTTTGTTTTGTTTATATCATTCTGGAGTGCTTCAGTATAAAACATAATATTTCCCGTGGGCAGAATCATTATCCGAGCCACCTGTTTCATTCAGTGCGATTCAGTCATGTGCCGGTGTTGACATTTTTGAGCAGCCCAGTATATTATTTACTGACACTCCTGAGCTACATGCATCTGATCCTTGTCTGACCTGTGTGTCAAACTGTAAACAGGGAAAAGTGCCCATGTGGTGGTTAATTCAATGGACTCGGTCTGGGGGGCAAATCAGATTTGTTAGGATCACCACTGGGGAACAACATTTTTCTTTCAACTGAGTTCCAAAAGTACTTAAAAGGAACGATAGTTTTGTTTTTGTAATTGATGAGCATTAATTTTTTTACGTCATTTTGTTCATTTTCTTTTGTGTCCTGCAGGAGCTGCAAGGAGTCCATATTGCTGACTGTCGTTCAGCCATACCCTGTGAGTTCCTCCTCTGTGAATGAAGTTCTAATGAGCCATTGGTTCTTTTGGATCTGATTATTTTGTTGACTCAAAGAAAGCAAGTCATTAATCACACCGTATGTTTGCGCTGGCATGGAACCAGTTGAGCCTTAGTTAAAGTGTTGGAGCCATGTGTAACTCGAAGGAAGTCCAACCGCCAAAGCCCTTTTCTGACTCCTCTGATACTGAGGAGCCAGATCCACAAAAGACCTCTTATGAACCTGCCACATCAACATTTCCTAAATGCACAAAGCAACAGATGGTGGTGAGCACACAGTGCCAGAAGTGTGCGCTCTATGCAACCTTTGTTTGCACTTCACATAATAAGTCAGTAGAAATAGACCTATGCTTGAATTCCTTCCAAAAATGCCAGTGCATGATTGGAAAAAAAAAAAAAAAAAACGCATTGGGCAAATTTTTGTAATTCATGAAACTCATTGTAAAGTTTTCTTGTTCTGCAGTTTCAGTGTTTCAGAGTAAATTTTTTAAAATTTGATTCAGTTGCAAAAAACGCACAATAAAGTACCTAAAAGATTGTGCTCTTAAAAATCACCCTGTCATATTTTTTCCTTCTTGCAAGAGGATTTGCTTACCTGAATAAACTGATGGCAGAAGGGCATTGTCCTTCTTTTGCCTCAAAGAATGTTGCCTTAATTGCATCAGCCACAAGAGGAGTTATAAAAGCCTGCGATGTTCTAAGAAGGAATTACATGACTCATTTCTGAGGAAGCAAATTGTCCTTAAAATACTTGTTCTTTTTTGTTGTTTTTTCATTTAAGTCACCCAAATCAGCATTTATCAGCGCGGCCAAAAAGGCTAAGTTAAAGACCAATCCTGTCAAAGTCCGCTTCGCTGAGGAGGTCATCATCAATGGACAAGTCCCAGTAAGTAACACCAAACGCCGTTTATTCATTAGGCATTCAGCTTCTGAAAGGGTTATGACAAATATGAAGTTGCATCAGTTCAATTATAATAACTCAAACTAAAGAAAAAAGTAGATGGACAAATAACAATGCATTATTTAATTTTAATGAAATGTTATGCTATTAAAGTATTGGACAAAACCCAGTTTGCAGTTTTAAATTTGCATATCAAACAGATAACTGACAGTAGGTCACGAGATGTGAGAATATTTTTTGGTCCAAAAGCCTTTTGGTCGTTCTTTTATATTCCTGCATTATTTAATTCTCTATAAATGAGTTTTTCCCAGCCAACATCGCTGCACTGCAACAGTTTAACAGCCTTCAGTTATTTAAAAAAGAGAGATTTGTTAATCATATTAATTTTATTCTCTCCCCAGGAAATGGTCAAAGACAACTCCCTGCTTTTTATGCCAAATGTTCTGAAGGTGTATCTAGAGAATGGGCAGACTAAATCATTTAAATTCGACAGCAACACATCCATTAAGGTAGGTGCTGGGAAGAAGCTCCTTTCAAAGTGAAAAGCTCTTACGTAATTTAAAGTGATGTTCGGTTTTCACATTCTGAGGTGCAGCCTCTTTTCTTAATGATGACATTCAGAACTTTATTGAAATTCAAACTTGTGATTCAATTAAAAAAAGCATTTGAGCGGTGAGAAGTTTGTGATTCACATTTGCATTTTGTTATTTTATTGCAATTGGAATTATGATTATTTATGGGAAAAATGCTCATGCTTTTATGTCCTCAGCTGTGAAAATGATTTAATGTTGTGGCTCTGAGCTGAGAACATGGAAGTTGCTGCATCTGCACCGTTCTTATCGTTGAATTAACTATGACATTGTCTATGTGAAAGGACGTCATCATGACCCTGCAAGAAAAGCTATCCATTAAGTGCATTGAGCACTTCTCTCTGATGCTGGAGCACAGAGCTGAGGGGTCTGCCAGCAAACTCATGCTCCTGCATGAACAGGAGATGCTAACTCAGGTAAGACTTCTGCCATCTTGAATGATGCCAAAAAGGGGGGGAAAGCAGTGTTTAGCTTTTTGTTGTATAACAGAAACAAAACTGTATTCTTATAGTATGAGTAGTGGAAAAAAAGGTTAATTATTTGTGCAAAAACAGAGATTCAAAGTGAAGATCTAAAAATATTAATTTAGTTATGGGAGAAACCATGAGTCACTTGGTCACATGAAAGAAACTACTTCTTGTTAGTTAGTTTATAGTTTTATTTTTACTGGAGCTGATAAATTTATTTATTTCTGTGTTCAGTTTTGATGTTAAGCTAATCATCACCATGTTTCACTTATGCCCATTATGTAAAGACAAAACACCTCCTGACCAGGGCTTAATTTGTAAACGGATTAATGCCAGAGCACAGTGGGCAGGTCGGCTGGGAGGGTGGGGGTTGGGATGGATGGGAGGGTCAGGGGGTCATCCCCAAGAAAATTTTGAAGAAAGTAGATGCAATTTCCTACAAAACGGATTCCAAAAAAGTTGGGACACTAAACAAATTGTGAATAAAAACTGAATGCAATGATGTGGAGATGGCAATTGTCAATATTTTATTCGTAATATAACATAGATGACAGATCAAAAGTTTAATCTGAGTAAATGTAACATTTTAAAGGAAAAATATGTTCATTCAAAATTTCACAGTGTCAACAAATCCCAAAAAAGTTGGGACAAGTAGCAATAATTGGCTGGAAAAGGGAAATTGAGCATATAACGAACAGCTGGAAGACCAATTAACACTGATTAGGTCAATTGACAACATGATTGGGTATAAAAAGAGCTTCTCAGAGTGTCAGTGTCTCTCAGAAGCCAAGATGGTCAGAGGATCACCAATTCCACCATTGTTGTGCAGAAATATAGTGCAACAATACCAGAATGGTGTTACCCAGCATAAAATAGCAAAGACTTTTAAGTTATCATCATCAACCGTGCATAACATCATCAAAAGATTCAGAGAATCTGGAACAATCGCTGTGCGTAAGGGTCAAGGCCGTAAAACTCTACTGGATGCTCGTGATCTCCGGGTCCTTAAACGTCACTGCACCTCAAACAGGAATGCCACTGTCAAGGAAATAACAGATTGGGCTCAGGAATACTTCCAGAAAGTGTTGTCAGTGAACACAATCCACCGTGCCATCCACCGTTGCTAGCTGAAACTCTACAGTGCAAAGAGGAAGACATTTCTAAGCAAGCTCCACAAGCTCAGACGTTTGCACTGGGCCAGGGGTCATTTAAAATGGAGTGTGGCAAAATGGAAGACTGTTCTGTGGTCAAATGAGTCATGATTTGAAGTTATTTATGGAACACTGGGACGCCATGTCATCCGGACCAGAGAGGACAAGGATAGCCCAAGTTGTTATCAACGCTCCGTTCAGAAGCCTGCATCACTGATGGTATGGGGTTGCATGAGCACTTGTGGCATGGGCAGCTTGCATGTCTGGAAAGGCACCATTAATGCAGAGAACTATGTTCAGGTTCTAGAACAACATATGTTCCCATCTAGACGTCATCTCTTTCAGGGAAGACCCTGCATTTTTCAACACGATAATGCCAGACCACATTCTACAGCAATCACAACATCATGGCTACGTAGGAGAAGGATCCGGGTACTGAAATGGCCAGCCTGCAGTCCAGATCTTTCACCTATAGAGAACATTTGGCGTATTATAAAGAGGAAGGTGCGACAAAGAAGGCCCAAGATGATAGAACAGTTAGAGGCCTGTATTAGACATGAATGGGAGAGCATTCCTATTTCTAAACTTGAGAAACTGGTCTCCTCTGTCCCCAGACGACTGTTGAGTGTTGTAAGAAGAAGGGGGGATGCCACACAGCAGTAAAAATGGACTTGTCCCAACTTTTTTGGGATTTGTTGACGCCATGAAATTTGGAAACAACAGATTTTCCCCTTAAAATGATACATTCTCTCAGTTTAAACCTTTGATCTGTGATTTGTGTTCTATTCTGAATAAAATATTAGATGTTGGCACCTCCACATCATTGCATTCAGTTTGTATTCACAATTTGGTTAGTGTCCCAACTTTTTTGGAATCTGGTTTGTACATTTTGATGTATTTCAATGGGTTATTAAACATCTATGTTTACCTACATTTGTAAACACTCCACTTCTGTCAAGCATCCTCACCCCCTCTCCCTTACTTGATGGTTACGAGCCGAGACTTTTCCACTGAACTTACTGTCCAACTTCACGTGAAACCTTCAGGAACCTCCTCCGTCTGTTCATTGCTGCTGCCTGTGGGCTCCTGCCCACATACGACTGCCTGGTTAGGTCATTGGACACTCACCCCCACCACTCTTTTAGGGGCGGAGACATTTTTTAAGGATAGAGGTGGGAAGCCTTCCTTGAAGAGGCAGCTCGTGTCTGATATTAAGAAGTTGTAAGTGGCTGTTGTGTTTAAAATGAGTGTTTATGTAATTATTTTCAGTTTGCAGATTTAATATAAGTTTTATTTGTTCAAGGCAGTCATATTTGTTCATAACGTTATTATTAGTAAGCCTGAAAGTTACTGGATCCAAGCAAACTGTTACTGGAACGCACCCTGTCAAAATAAGAGAGTTCCTGGATCCTGTTCTGGCAGAATCCGGTTCAAATGAAGCACTGCTCCTGACTAATTGGTTCGTTCTATCTATCATGCTCTAGGTGACACAGAGGCCAGGGTCACACAAGATGAAGTGCTTCTTTCGAATCACTTTTGTCCCAAAGGATCCAGTGGACCTGCTGAGGAGAGATGCCATAGCCTTTGAGTATCTCTACGTTCAGGTAAAAAAATGAACACCTAGTTTTTGGTGAAGTTAAATCGTTTGTGTCTTTTGTTTGTAATATGACAACAAACATGGTCAGAACTTGGATGTAGTTTCTTCTCACCATTTTTTATTTGTTTGTTTTCTTTCATTCCATGACAAGAGGAGTCAATAAAAGTAACCTCTTTCTGTCTTTTCCTTCTCTGCTTCATCCAGAGCTGTAACGATGTGGTACTGGAGAGATTTGGGTCAGAACTGAAATATGACACAGCCCTCCGTCTGGCTGCCCTGCAAATGTACATTTTAACCATCAATACCAAACAGACTCAGAAAGTTTCCCTGAAGTATATTGAGTAAGTAGTTTGGATTTTAAAAAGCACTGAGCTTACTGGAGTCCACTGTTTCCTGACTCTGAACTATTCTACTTCATCCAATAAACTGTTTTGGCTCTCAGAGATGCTGCAACATGTGGGGTGCTGTCAAACAAACAAGAAAACTGATCTTACCGTTCTGTTTTATTGGTTGGTTATGAAAATTATGTCAGCAAATCTAATCAGTGCAGCAACTCTGAATTATGTTAGTGTTGACTGTGTTTCATATTGATGGCTCTTTTTGAACTGTGCATTCACAGGAAGGAGTGGGGTTTGGCCTTGTTCCTACCACCTGCTGTGCTGTCAAGCATGAAAGAGAAGAATATTAAAAAAGCAATTACCCACATCTTGAAAACCAACCAAAACTTGGTGCCACCTGGTAAAAAGGTAGAGGCTGAACTCTTTTCTGTTTTCTTTGTGCCACATCTGACTCACTTATACCACCTAGTGGGGGGTTAAAATCTATACTAATGGTCAAAGATGGTTTTTAACAATTTATCTTGATTTTTTTCCTACTTTATTTGTAATTGTCCATCTTATTCATTGCCCCCTCCCCCTTTCTTCAATACAGCTGACTGCCTTGCAGGCAAAGGTACATTATCTGAAGTATCTCAGTGACTTGAGGCTTTATGGGGGACGTGTGTTTAAATCAACCCTGGTTGTAAGTAACACCATCTTCCAACCACACACATGCAGCTGAAACCACATTGCTGCTCAGTCACACGTAGATAATGATGCACGTGGTATCTCTTCCTTTTTACAGCAAGGGGAGAAGCACACAGAAGTAACTTTGCTGGTAGGACCCAAATATGGCATCAGTCATGTGATAAACACCAAAACTAATCTTGTGGCACTTCTGGCCGACTTCAGCCATGTGAACCGCATTGAGATGTATTCAGAAGATGAGAACAGAGTTAGAGTGGAGCTACATGTCCTAGATGTGAAGGTTAAACATTTTGTCTATTTATCCTAAGAAAGCTCTGTCCATTGGTCTTTATAACCTCATTACAATACCTAATGTCCTATTATTTCATTATTTCCATCTGATTATCTGCTTCTTTCACAGCCCATAACTCTTCTAATGGAGTCTGTTGATGCGATGAATCTGGCCTGTTTGACTGCTGGCTACTACAGATTACTCGTGGACTCTCGACGTTCCATCTTTAACGTGGCCAAAAACACAAACAGTACGAAAACAAGTGCATACGAAAGAGCTATAAGATGATTCAGCAGAATGTGCTGTATTTTTTTTTTTTTTTAAATGTTTGTTTTCTGGTTCCTCTTTGCAGGCAACCCTGCTAAAGTGAAGCAAAACTTTCAGGCCATCGAGTGCACGTACAGCATACCCCATAAAAGCTGTGAAGACAGAAACAACCAGAGGTGCAGCCAAGAATATTTGGAACAGGAGTGTGAATATCTCAACCACAGCAGGTGTGAAAGTCAACCTGTGTACATAACAGAGATCCACCAGCCCCAGCATCCAGTGCACATGTTGGACAGAGCAGAGTGCTGTAGACCTCCGTGTTCTCAAACTTATCTCAACCTCCCAAGACCCAAACCCCAGGACTCCTCCAGGAATGCCAAGGTTTCCTTCATATTTGGGGACCCTCCTTTGGACAGCGTGAACCCCCAAAATCTGGGCTACCAGAGACTAATGGATGAAGGCCCAGAAATTGCAGACAATCACAGCCACATGTATAGGCGCCTTGAGGAGGATTATAAAATGATGGATGCTTTAGAGGAAGGCTATCAGTACTCCACCAAAATCTTTGGTCCTACGGAGTGCATCGAGGAGCCACTGCTGCATGACATCTGCTATGCAGAGACGACCGATGATGCAGAGGACGAGGATGACATCAGCTGTGAGGAGGACATGGTGATGAGTGACATTGACAAGCCTATGTTGCTTACACTCTCAGGGTCCAGCGATGACATAATTGACTTGACCTCCCTCCCTCCACCACCGGAGGTAAACGATGAGGAGGACAATGACGTGCTGCTGCACTCTCTGAACATGGCCATTGCTGCTCCTCCTCCTGGTTTCAGGGACAGCTCAGATGAAGATGAACAGCAGGGAGCTGGGACTCGGGCCAAGGGAGCCTGTAATGATATTCCAGTGTCTCTAATAGATTCAGTGCCCACCCACCGAGCAGAGGGACCTGGGGAGCCTCTGGACGATGCAGTGGTGTCTACCTTACAGGCACTTGAAGCACTGGCTGCTTCTGAAGAACAGAGTCCGGCCCAGTCAGAGAGTAGCACAGGTTCTCCTTATACTATTGTAACTTTCATCCATTAACATTATTCACATTCCAGCCATTCACTTATGATTTGCTGTTTTTTTTGTGTTTTTTTTTTTTAATAAAGCCCATTCTGTTTTGTTTCCATTTGTGAGTATTTTGTCATTCGTTTGAAAATGTGGACATTTGTATTCATCAGTTATTTGCTGCCTTTTGTGTTTTGTTTTGCTCATTTCCATAGTCCGCAATGTAATAGGTTTATTACAAATCAATTAAAAAAAATTGGGAATAAAAAATCTTAAATAGCCGTCACAAACATGCCCAAAATTATAGTTTTACTTTTATCTTTATAAGGGAAAAAATAACTTTTTTTAACCTGGAACTGAGTTAGCTCTTTGTAAAATTGAAGACTGCCTCTCTGCAATCACGTTTTAAAGCGATAGTTCATGCTGGTTTGAAGAAGGGTTATGTGGAAATATGAATATTTATTATCCCACCTGCTGTATAGATAGAACAGCCTCAGTTAAGAGAAATGGTTTAATTCTGAACAAAGTGATGAGCTAACTGCTAACAAGACAAAAATCAGTGGACATCACCATCTTATGACAAGTCCTAGTACAAAAATGTCATGGAGGTTTTTTCATTCATTCAACCTTTATTTAGACAGGTTAATCCCATTGAGCCTCGAGGACTCATTTACATGAGAGACCTGGACCTGAAGTTTACTTAAATGCCCCTTAATAAACCTTTATTGACCATCAGTTTGCATTATCTGTTACTTTCATAGAATACTGTGGTTATTTTGAAGTGCAAATGACAGCAGATTAGCATTTTTCATGGCTAATGGGGTACTTCCAACAAGAAGCTAAATTAAACTTCTGCCTAAAAAACTGTGTAATGTGAAAATGGTGATATAATATAATAGTGCTTTCATAAACATGAAATGAATATACAAAAGATGCACGATTGTGGTTGTTTTAAGAAGTCAGAAATCCAATTTGGTTTTGAACCTGCTCAGACCAGCTGGTCAGAATTAAACTCTATAAACTGAGGTCTTTAAAATGGCTATCTAATGCAGGTAAAGATATAGTCCATAATCTTCCCACATAATCCCATTTTTATCTATATTGTAATAATGGTAAATTGAATTAGAATTAAGATAATTTTTGTATCACTTCAGGATGATCACGTGTTCTTCTCATTCATTAGGTTAGTTCATGAACATACAGGATGAGTGATGATCTGAAACTAGGACAGAGCTTTTTGAATTCATGAATTTAGACTGTAATTTCAGCAGAATGCCTTGAAACTACTCTGGTTTCATGATCTGCATTACTTTAGTGTCACTGCACTCAGAGCCAGACAACAGCTTTGTATTATAACATGTCACACACAAAGAGTCTTTGCTTTTTAAATCTGTCATTGTGTCAACTCAGGCTTTAATTATGCTTCATGTATTCATTCACTAGCAACCAATATGTCTTAACATGCTCATCAACACCATTTAAAAAAAAGTATGTCTTCTTTTTTATTTCCACAAAGCACTGAGCAATGGTAATGCCTGAAACTTAAAATAATTATTTTGTAGCACCAAATTATAATGAATCTGTATCATCCTAAATTTAATCTAAAATTATATTTTTCTACAACATTTTACCACCTACAACCCTCCAGAACATTGCTTTAGTATTGTGTAAGCTTACCAACATTTGGATATTTTACAGAATTAACACTTTTGCTGAATTGCAGGTGGGATAAAACATTCCAATAATTTTTATCTGTTACTGTTGTTCAATTGTATTTTCATAATCATGTTAATTTGCATAGTCATTACCCCTAATGTCTTCTTGATATCTCCAGTGTGCATTAGAAGAAATTTGTTAACAAGGTCTTGTCTTTCTGTGATACACAGGTGTAGAAATATCACGAGCATTTAGCCCGGAGTCTTCAGATTCTGGCAATGAGACCAACTCCTCTGAGATGACAGAGAGCTCCGAGCTGGTTGCTGCTCAGAGACATTCCGAGAATCACCTGAGGATGCATGCAGCCATGCCACAAGGATACCACGCCATAAATGAGAAAAGAGCAGAGGGAAACACAGGTGTTGAGCATCAGGGGGAGGCAAAGTCTGCCGTTGCCTCCTCACAGATTTTTCACTCAGAAGGGGGTGAGATGGAACCAGAGACTATGGAAATAAAGTCAGTCAGGGACTACTTCACTAAGATGCACTTGGGCTCATTAATGAGCAGACAGAAAGGGAAACAGAGGGAGACGGAGAGCGGTATCCAAGGAGATGCGTGCGATTCCTCTGATCAATCCCATATTACTTCTCCAGATTCAGCTAAAGAGGAGGCCCCCCATCTTGTTGGGAAGTACAACGCTTTCACTGTGAGAGATTCCTACTACATGAACCAACTTGATCTGGGGCGAACTCACTGTAAAGAAAGGCAGCAGAAATGGCAGCAGAGAGCACCAGGAAACAAAATGGCAGAGAATCTCTCACCAGAATGTGCAAATGACTCACAGGCTTCCCACGCAGATAGGCTGACAGCAAAGGCAGAGAAACAAGACTTAGATGAAAGAAGCCAACAGTTAAATGCCCATCTTTTTTCCCCATCCAAAGGGCCCTTCCCTGCAGAAAGTGATGCAGCTTCACACGAGAACAAGCAGAAGCAGATAAAGTCTTCACAGTCAGAGCAAGAAGTCACACGTTTATATGATTTCCATGTTAGCAAGCGCATGTCATCAATTCAAAGCGAGGCGGTTCATTCTCTCCAAAGCTCTCAATGCTCCTCTATAGATGCTGGATGTAGCACTGGCAGCAGCAGCTGTGTCACACCCATGGATTCCCCACTTTGTGCCACTGACAATATGCATGTACTATCAGAGACTTCACTCAAGGGGATGAGTTATGTCGCTGCTGAGGAGAAGGTGTATGGACCTGCAGCGCAGGGGAAGGCTGGACATCCAATGGACCACACCCTGCTGAGGAAGATCCATGCAGCTACCAGCACTGAGTCAGGCTTTGGAAGCACACGTGACAGCGGTCACAGAGTGCCCAAAATGAAAGAAACCACAGGTAAGACGAAACAAGAGGGGGCCGCTCTAATCTGTGTCTAAATAAGCACATAAATAGAGCCAAGAAAGTCCACCTCAGAAGCTAAAATAGAAACACATTTTGCTTTTCTTCTTGTGGCATCCAAAAATGTATTGGCCTTAAACAATTAGTCTACTAGCTTCAATTTTTCTAGTAAATTTGGTAAATAAAACACAAGCTTTTTGCTGGAGCTGGAGAAAAATACTGTTGGACAGTCTACAAATGGGTTGTGTGAAGTTTTCTAGGAAACTATCCTCATCCTAACATCTGTAATATATTTGGAGTTATTGATGCTTAGAATTAATTTTAATAAATGTTATCAACTGCAAATACAATGGAAATATCTTCCACATTCACTGTGCTGAATGAGTTCCATAAATAAGTGATTATAAAACTAGATTATTGTGCATTTCTAGAAACCATCAAAGGGTGGACAACTTACTTTATTTCTCAAGTCTGTTTGTGATTTTATTTCTCTCTAATGAAAAGTTTTATTACAAAACCAGTGTTGATGTCTTGATAAAGAGATTACGTCATCCTCAAATTTATTATGTAATATGAAAGTGTGGCAAATATTTCATATTTTTAGCTCAACCATAATAACAGAAACTGAGGATAATTATACATACACAAATAGGTAAGTCCCAAAAAAAAGTCCCAGAAAGTATCCAGCTATTGAAAGTGAAACCAGCCTTTATTAAATGACTACTGACCATGGTCCCTTGTTTATGTTAAATATAATGCTACATCTATGAGTTTTTGAGGCACTTGAGAGCACAGTTAGTAAAATAAAATGCTGCTTTCATATTTTGAAACAGCATGGATAAGAGAAATCCAAGTGTTGAAAATAAAAGGGTTGTATTTAGAGTTGTATAGGATTGCAGTGTTGTATGTAGGGCTGTACTTTAAACTAAAACATCATGAGAACAAAAGGAAAAACCATGTCTGCAGAAGGGGATTGAGAAGTAACTGACACCATGGTGATAAAGGCAAAACATTTGATCCACTACAATAATGCTCATAAAACCATTTCCCCACTGTTCCTTCAGTTTCTTAAAAGCAGGCCTCTCAAGTCTTATTTTAGCTTGGAACAAAATTTATTTTCTAGCAGATGATGGTCTGGAGACATGTAGCCTAAATGTCTGACGATTTACTCATTTTTATTAGTCTCTCTGTTTGAAGAGACCTTATTTATTTATTTGTCTATTTATTTTAAATCGCAACGTAACCAGTAAATTTGTTTTACATTGTGTGAAAAACTGAATGAGATGTTCTAATGAAGAGTGAAGTTGTGATGTCTTTGTTGAAAATTCTATTAATTTTTGTTGTTTTACACAGAACTAAATAAGCTAGATAATCTATTTGCATAAAAGACTTTTGAAAAGAATCCTTTTGATACGTAACGGTTCTCTCTGTTTTCCTACTACCCCTAGTGTAGCTTGCACACAGCTGAAGAAGACTGGGAAAGAGTCATCTCTCACTCTCTGTAATGAGACCAGTACCACCTCCACAATCATGTCACCTTTATCTTTACGAAGTAGCACAGAGCCCAGCGAGGTAACACTGGCCAGCCCTGAGCCCAACCTATCTTCATGCGACCTGGCAACAAGTAGCCTCAGGAAGCCGCACAGGGTTCACATGCTCAAAAGGAGCTGGAGCACCTTAATGCCAGGTTCCAAGAGCTTGGAAGTACTGATAGGAAAGACCAAAGCCACACTTACAGGAAAGATTGGTGGTCCGAATCTGCAGTCTCAAGATCCCCAAAAAGAGCAAAGAGGGTTCTTTGCCAAAACCTTACCCAAGAGTTTGTCCCAGGGATCAGTTGCCTCCGATTCGACTGGAAGACGACTGCAAACAGGAGTCTCGCTGCTGCTGCTGGAGTCAACAGCTCCGAGGTCAGACGCAGGAACGTGGCGGTGCCGTGGGCCGTTCAGTCACTGCTTCCTCAGGAAAGCTTCAAACGCTCAAGGTAGTGATGAAGATAAAGAAGTGTGTTCACATGCCCTGTTTTCTGAGAGCTCCGTTTCTTCTGGCTGCAAGAAAACTGCGGCCTTGAAAGCAGGCTGTAAAGCTGAAGAAAACAACGTGCCCTCGTCTGTGAGCACCTTGGGTCTCAAAGACAGGCTAGCTTATATAAATTCAATGAAGGGAAAAACCTATAGCCTTCACACAGGATTTGCACTTGCACGGAAAGATGCCTTAGATATGATCAGTGTGTTGCGTTGCAGTGTGAGACATAGGTCCAAAGGTGATGTACCTGAGGTCAGTGAGGCTGACATGGAGATGCTCTCCCAGCTGCTTTCACTGCAGGCCAAAACGCTGAGCTCCGCCTGCAGTCAGATGGCAACGGAGTACAGCAGCCCAGAGGAGCTGCTGCTCACCCTGACACACAGTTTCCATACACTGTGTTGCTTAGCGCAAGCCTGCATGTCACTAGTGGAGGGTCTGAGCAGTGAGAGCGAACGCAATGAGGTGGTAGTGAAGGTGGACGAGGTCGTGATGAACTACGTGTGTCTGCTGAAAGCTGCTGAGGTGGCTGCAGGAGGCTCCCCCGATGACCAAAGTGTGAATGCATTGATACATTATTCTGCCACCATTTCTGTTCTTATAAACACACTAACCAACTCACTGGAAACACTGCTCAACAAAAAACTGTTGTTTTCTTCTGATTGTTGATTTTTAAGCCATACATGTGGGACATGGGTTTTAAAACCCAATGTGAATTGCTGTGAAAAAAATCTCACCTTGTCTATACACTATTTTATTATCTAAAGAATTTATGAAATTATATGAATTAAAGTTTTAAAGAGAGATTATATAAAGCCCTCAATTAAAAAACACTAATGACCTCCCTCTCAAGTACATTATTTAATATTATATAATAAGGATTATTTTAATGGTTTATTGATTATATGAAGAGATGTAAATTATTATTATTATATGCGTATCTTGTTTATAAACTGTACAAAATTCTATTATGTTGGAGAAATGCATACACTATACAAAGTTCTAAACAAATCATTGCACAAGACAAGATGTTAAAATATTACTGTAAGGCGTACAACTTTTTTCATTTGTTGAATCACTTGTTTTAATGAATTATTTACACATGAATATTAAGTACTTTCTTGTTATTTTTGTCAACATCGATAAAGAAATTAAAACTTTTGAAAATTCTTCTCTCAATTAATTTTTATTGGTGTCTGTTTCACTCCGTAGTCTGTTTATTACCACCTCATACCATCTTACATTTTTACTAGTACCAGTGGTGATTTTAGACTCTATTGGGGGTGCTCAAGCACCCATAAATTTTAACTCAGCACCCCTGAAAATAAAAAACATCATTATGATTTTGTAAGGAAGCTTAGTTCTCAAACCTTAGATTCACCAAAATATTGAATAGATTTGGAATAATTGATGACACAAACGGGCCAGTAAAATCGATGACTTTTTTGCACGAGTCGGATCCTTGACGCCACCTGTCAATTAATCCAGATGGCTTGTCAGCAACTGATCAATCAGTGTTCTCAATTTGTCCTGAAGTGAAACGCCCCTTACCTGCATGTGCTGGAGGTGTGTGTGTGTGTGGGGGGGGGGAGACAGTGTTAGGATCTGTGAGAGGAGTAGAGTCTGCTCTATTCACACAAGGAGAGCTGTTGGCCAGGCTTCTTCTAGTTATGTGTTGTTTGTTTATTTGTCATATGTAAGTTAATACAAGGTCAGCAGTGCAATGAAATGTTCAGATTGAGAAGAATTAATGTGACTTGCAAAAAAATATATAAAAATACTAAAGCACGCAATAAAAATACAATATAAAGTACCAAAAAGTGAAAAAGAAATATATTAACAAGGTCCAAAAGAAATATAGTAAATAATAATATGGTGGAATAGAACAGTGCTAGTATGATGAATTAGTATAAATACGTATTTCACAGGTAGTAATATTAGCTTTTTGTTGTGTAATGCTTTCCAAAACACTTATTGAATCAAGAAGGTAAATGCAGATGTTTAAAAACCTGTACACCAGAATGAAGGAAATGGCATCTACTTTATTCAAAATTTTCTGGTGGAGAACCCTCACCCCAGCCCACCCCACATTACAAATGCTTCTGATACATTATTTAAACCAAGAGCCATTATCAACACTGGGGACTAAGCACCAGGTCAGATTCCAGAATCGCTCCTGACTGGTACCAAATTCCAAATAAATATTTACTTCAAGAAATTTCTGGCAATCGTACAACGTTGTTTCAAAGAATTACATTCTCCATGTATAAAACCTAGGTTTACAGACCATCCATCCATAATATTAAACCGCTTCTTCCTTTTTGGGTTGCGGGGATCACTGGTGCCCATATCCATCAGTCAATGTGCGAGAGGAGGGGGACATCCTGGACAGGTCTCCAGTCCATCACAAGGACACATAGAGACAAACGAGACAAACAACCATTCACTCTCTCACTCTCACCTAGGGACAATCTAGAGTTACCAATCAGCCTAACATGCATGTTTTTGGTCTGTGGGAGGAAATCGGAGTACCCAGAGAAAATCCATGCAATCACGGAGAGAACATGCAAACTTCACCCAGAAAGGCAGCCAGACCAGGAATTGAACCAGGACAACCAGGTTGCTGAGAGGCAGCATCTCTACCAACTGTGCCACCGTGCTGCCCAGTTTACAGACCATGTTTGATTATTAATGATTAAACATTTACTCAAGTCTGAGTGCTGGTAATGAATTTGGATTCATGATGATTGGTTTGGTTTATTTCTTTAGCAAAATATGTTGCTTTAGGATTCTAGTAAACAAGGTAACAGCAGCTTTGTGTAGCTGCAGGCAGAGTTTTGTGATAAAGGCTAACATCAATATGCTACAAGGGTCATGAAGTCTTTTATGCAAGTACTTATAAAGGGATATCTAGTGAGGGCAATATACAGGTACAGTATATGTATATTGAATAGAGTTTGTTTTATATAAAAAGAAAATTAAAATGTTTTTTGTTTATAACAACTTCAAGTTTTGACCAAATGTGACCTGGCCAAGCTATAAAACCAAAGGTTTAGATGAAATATTGTTCAGTCAGAAATTATGACAAAACAGTATCTTGCCTGTTGTATTTAATTTGTGAATGGCCTCAGTTTGGCGAAACAAACTTTAATTCTGTTTAGATTACCAAGCTGATGGCTAGTCTTTGTGAAACAATAACTAAACAAGATTTCTACCATGTCAAAGCAACAACAGCCTCAATAATTTCAGATTTGAATAGAAGATTATAATTAATCACAAGGACATGCAGCAGCAATACCTAGCTGTAGCACTTCAGATGCAGCTTAGGGAAATGCTAGCAAGAAAATCACAATATTCCTGCCAAAATACCCATCTAATGCAAAGTTTGTTGTTATGTAAAGGTTTATAAATTAATGTTTGCATGTGCTACTACGAAATATTGGAAATTGGAGTCATTTTAAGAGGTTTTGGACCATTCATTAGCTTGGTAGTTCAGTCAGAATTAAACTCTCTCTCTCTAAAATAAATGTGTTCAAAGGGCTATAAAAGTAAAAAAAAACTTTTTAATACTTCAAAAGATCTGAAGTATCCCCTTTCCCCTCTTTGAACAATTTTAAATTCTAAATTTAAAACCAGACATGCATGCTGTGTTAGGAGGTGAGAGTGAATGAACCCTGCAGCCACAAACAGCCACAGAGAAAAAAAATGTCTGGTTTATTGTGTAATTTTGTGAACCTTCATCGTTCATTTCACTTTCCCCTGCTGCTTCAGCAGAAATGAAACTAATGTTTCTTATGTAACCTTAAAAGAAACCTACAAGTCCTTCAATTGTGCCGCTGTACTTTACAACAAGAGTGTGATCCTAAATGTTGGCTCAGTGTCAGTGGTCTGAAACAAATAGGAAGTGATGCTGACTAATTATATACACAATGGGTTAACACAGCCACCTGCTACTTTCACACTATCACCTCAGAACTGATTGTCACATTAGACCTCTTTAGTATTCAGATCAGCTTTACAGCAGAAGCAGGACCTCATCATTCTTACAATGTCCCTCCAATTAGTGAGTATTAGCTATATTTATTATTTTTTGTGTTTTTTTTATTTATTTATTTTTGTTTGTTCCTATGCAGCTAAATTGGGGTGGTTAAGATAGATATTCTGTAATCTGAGATGTTGAAAATGTAGTTACCCGGTTGGGTAATTCCTCAAGTTAACTTTGACTCAAAATAGAGCTTTTAGCGGTGCTTCTTTTGTGCAATATGTATGTTTTTTTTTCATGCAGTTAGTTCTATGTACCACTTTCATAGATGCTTCTATTTTGGTACAGATGTGTGTGGCACTACTGGCCCTTTGGTGTCATTTGGATAAATCAACAACTGGCATCACTTACCCAAAAACTCTGCCGTGTGACATCAGCGAGGACAGTAATGGAACGGTGGTAAAAGTGGACTGCACTGATAGAAGCCTTAAGGAAATCCCCAGTGCCATCCCCAGAGAGACTACCAACCTGACTCTCACCATCAACCATATTCCAAAATTAAACTCAACCTCCTTTCAAGGTCTGGATAACTTGACAGAGATCGACATGAGGTGCAACTGTGTGCCCATCAAAATCGGTCCAAAGGACCACATGTGCACAAAGAGTGTGACGATTGAGGAAAATGCCTTTAGCACACTGGGGAATTTAAGAGCACTGTATCTGGATGGAAATCAGCTCTACAGCATACCTAAAGGCTTGCCTTCAAATCTTATTCTGCTGAGTTTGGAAGTAAATAATATTTTTTATATTTCTAAAGCTAACCTCACTGAGATCCAAAATATTCAAATGCTATATCTAGGTCAGAACTGCTATTATCGTAACCCCTGTAACGCCTCATATGATATAGAAAATGGTGCATTTTTGCCTTTAAACAATTTAACATTATTATCTCTTAAGTCAAACAACTTGTCCTTTATTCCCCATCAATTGCCTACGAGTTTAAAAGAACTGTATCTCTACAACAACAATATTCAAGAGGTCACTGATGAGGATTTCAAAAACTTAACCAACCTTGAGATTCTTGATATCAGCGGAAACTGTCCTCGATGTTACAATGCCCCTTTTCCATGCACCCCATGCCTGAACAATGCACAGCTTAAAATCAGCAAAACGGCTTTTCAAATGCTGACCAAATTAAAAACGTTACGATTGCACAGTAACTCGCTGACACAAGTGCTTCCAGAATGGTTTGCCAGCACAAAAGATCTCAGAGTGCTTGATCTCTCATCAAACTTTTTAGCCAGAGAGATTGGGGTCACTACCTTCCCTGTGAACCTGGGTAAACTAGAAGAACTGGACCTATCATTTAACTATGAGCTCCAGAGATATCCTCAAACTCTCAGATTGTCCTGTAAATTTTCTTCCCTCATTTCTCTTAGGATTCTTAGAATCAAAGGTTATGTGTTTCAGCAACTAAAGTGGGACAGCATTGCTCCTTTAAAAGTTTTACCAAATCTGGAGGTTGTAGATATGGGTACAAATTTTATTAAAATGGCAAACCTGAGCATTTTGATGGAATTAAAAAGCTTTAAAATAATAAGTCTGTCTGACAACAAGATATCATCTCCCTCTGATGGCCAAGATGCTCTTGGTTTTACTGGAGGAGATCCCTTGCTCTGGTCCCCAATGTTGGTGGCTGATCAGTTCCAAAACAAGGATGTAAGAGAGATTCATTACTTCAGGTATGATGAATATGCCCGCAGCTGCAAATACAAAGACAAAGAACTTGGAATAATTACATCCTTTGTCAAGAAGGAGTGCAGTAAGTTTGGTAAAACATTGGATGTGAGCAGAAACAACATATTTTTCTTGCATTCGAGGTTTTTAAATCTGAAGGAGCTAAAATGCCTCAATCTGTCCGGAAATGCGATGAGCCAAAGCTTGAATGGTTCTGAATTTATCAACCTGACAAGCTTACAGTACCTGGACTTCTCATCGAATCGCCTGGACCTGCTCTACTCCTCCGCATTTAAAGAACTGATAAACCTGGTCATCTTAGATATAAGTAACAACAACCATTATTTTGAGTCAGAGGGTTTGACCCACATGCTTAATTTTACAAAAAATTTAAAAAACCTAAAGACACTGATGATGAATCACAATAAGATATCCACTTCCACTAATTTGGAGATGGAGAGTGAATCTCTGGAGACGTTAGAGTTCAGAGATAACCGCTTAGATATGTTATGGAGAGATGGGGACACTAGATATGTCAACTATTTCAAAAAGTTGCTAAATCTCAGGGTCCTTGATATCTCCCAAAATAATCTCCTTTCTATTCAACCAGAAGTCTTCAATGGTCTGCCAGACAAGCTGTCTGAGCTCTATTTAATTAACAACAAACTAAAATCCTTCAATTGGGGGAAACTTTCACTTCTACGGTCGCTACGTGTCTTAGACCTTAGTGGAAACTACCTAACTTCTGTTCCAAGAATGTTGTCAAACTGTACCACATCACTTGAGAAGTTTATTCTACATAAAAACCAAATCCTAAAACTCACACCAAATTTTCTCAAGGATGCCTTCAGTCTAAAATATCTGGATCTAAGTTTTAACCGTATAAAGCACATTGAGGAATCCAGCTTTCCAGAGATTGTTGTGAAGCAGATGGACATGTTGCTACTGCACAAAAACAGATTTTTCTGCACCTGCAACGCCACTTGGTTCATCACGTGGTTGAACAAAACCACAGTAACTATCCCTCGGCTGGGAATAGATGTTACTTGTGCTTCTCCAGGTGCACAAAGGGGTCACCTTGTGGTTTCTGTGGACTTGATGGCCTGCCAGTATCCCTTTCTGTCAATCATTCTATACATCCTCATGACTTCCCTCATCCTCAGCTTCCTCACCCTTTTCATCTCCAGTCACCTCTTCCTATGGGATGTCTGGTACATCTACCACTTCTGCAGGGCTAAGCTCAAAGGCTACGGCCGCTTGTACTCTCAGAGTACGATCTATGATGCCTTTGTGATCTATGATAAAGATGATCCTGCAGTGGCAGAGTGGGTGATGAAGGAGATGTGCACTCATCTGGAGGACTGCGGAGAACATCGCCTGACACTGGGTCTGGAGGAGCGAGACTGGGTCCCTGGATGTCCTCTGATTGACAACCTCTGTCAAAGCATCCAGAGGAGCAAGAGGACAGTGTTCATCCTCACCAAAAAATACATTGAAGGAGGAAACTTCAGAACAGCCTTCTACATGGCCCACCAAAGACTGATGGATGAAAAGAATGATGTAATAATACTAATTTTCTTGGAGAAGCTACCTTGCAATTCAAAGTATCTAAGATTACGAAAGAGACTGTATAAGCGGTCAGTTCTTGAATGGCCAACAAACCCTCAGGCACAACCATACTTCTGGTTCAGCCTCAGGAGTGTACTGTCTACTGAGAGTCATAAGCAATACAGCAATCTCTTCAAAGAGACACTTTAAATATAAAAAAACTGAAATGTTTATGTCTGTTGTTGTAAACTGCTCTGACTTTACATCTAAGTGGTGTGTGAATTTTTAAATGTCAGAAAAAAAGAACTCTTGATGTTTTCCTGTTTGTTGGGGTTTTTTTCCTATTATTGGAGTAATGACATGCACTCTGCTAATACACAGAATTCTAATTTTGATGTTAGTCCTGTAAGACGGTAGCTGTACACATCATAAAACAAGGAAATGAAACAGATATGTTGCTACTTCTGCAATTCACATGCTGCTTTTCTTCCACGTCTTGCTGAACCCATGAGTTTTCACAGATTTGTTTCCTCCCCTAGCATGAGGCTACAAAAAACAAAGACAAAATGTTAACTTTTTAAAAATGCACTTTTAAGATCTGAACGATTTTAGAGTGCAAGAGTTACCGGGTTTAAAAATTGTTCTTCATAGAGCACGAAAGACCTACGCAACCTGTGTACAATGGTGAGTTCATACAGCAGACTGGAATAATCAGCGAGACTTAGGGTTTTCTTTATGTTTTTAACTGTTTAACTGTACATTTTGTGTTTTTGTATTTTTGCATTAAAACAGAAAAATATATACAGTTTTAAATGACTTGTAAAAATTAACCTATTCATATTTCTTTCGAAGTATTCCAACATTTTAAAGATGTATTTAACAATAAATTAAACAAAATCACTGTTGTATAACTCTTGTATTTGTTATTTTATTCATACATATTCCTGCAGTTAGAAGTAATATTATTTCAAGCTTCACAGCCACATTTGTATTTGATCTAGTGCATGGTTTAAAATAAGTAAGACCAGTCACTAACGATGATAAATATCTGTGTATTTGACAAAATTGTCAGTTTACATGAATGTGATGCTGTTGCAGTGCTTTTTGACCACTTACCTTATAATTCATAATGGGACATTATTCAGCTTAAATTACAGCTTTACAGTAAAAGAATAACACTCGGAGAATCTATATCTCTAACCAAACCATGACTAAAAAGACCTTTTGTTTAAACTGATTAACAAAGTACTGCCACCTGCTGATGACTTACAGAGCAGTAAAGTAATTTCCAACTATTTGCAGAAAAGGTTCAGGTTTTAAGTTATGACTAAGTACAATTTTTTTTTAATTAATTGATTTCAATTCTCACACTGCAGTTAAAAACACACACAAATATTGATTTTACTAAATGCAATACTGAATACTGAACATAAATGTAGAGTTCATATTGCACATTTAAAGACAAAGTTTTAAGATCACATTTATAGTTTTTTTCATCAGTTAGGAAATTATAGCTTTAGTTTTTATTTTTTCTGTTTCTAAATATATTATGTTTCACATAGTTGTCATAAAACTGCTTGCATTTCAAAACAGGTTTACTGTAGTTGCATCCCATTTTGATGTGCAAGGTCCAGGAGCAGCTCAGACCCCTTCAGCCTCTACTTGACATGAAAAATTGCTAAGACTATCAGACTCAGCTTTATTGTCAATGCACAGAGCACAACGAAATTACATTTCAGTATAGCCCATCCGAAGAACCACAAGCAAACAGACATAGACTTGGGTAGACAGGGTGACTGAGGCGGCAGCCTCTGAGAGGCGCTCCTTTTGCATTAGATTAGAAAAACAAGAAATCACAAAGTCACACTAAATAGCCATAGAAGTATCTAAATCATACCAAGAAGGGAATTATATATTTAGCAGTGCCCTCAAAAGATCCAAAATTACCACATATTGCAACAAGGCATAAACTGGTTAGCAGGAGATGCTGAAACATTTCAAAATGATGCTAAATTACAACCAATAATACCCAAGCCATGATATGACCAGAAAGATATAAACAAAAAAAGAGAGCGACAATCAACATTATAATGTAGACACATGACTTGACGACATAAAAGGTCATCTTACCACAAATTTCAGACAACAGATCAAGTTCCTCATTGTATTTTTAGCAAACAAATAAGATGAGGAACTCAGTGTCCAGTTAGAACCAGATATATTAGAAAAACAAGCAAAACTGGCAAGTTTGAACGGGCACCAATCAATTGTTCCATTGGGTTTTTAAGTTTTGACTTTAACATAATACATGAGATGACATAAATTTAAAGATACCCTTTTTGACCGACTCCATTATTTGTTTACAGACTGTTAGGTCTTGGATTCATCTGCTCCTCTTCTGCCTATGGTGTCATCCAAAGGTCCAACCTGCTGTATGCACACCCTTCTGGATGTCAGCAAAGTTCCCCTGTGACGTCACAACTTTGAACTCCTCCAAGATCCTATTTAACTGCAAAGGTCGTCGATTAAATGCCGTGCCTCATGGGATTACTGCCAATGCTACTGATCTTGACTTATCAGAAAATTACATAGCGACAATCCAACTTGATGACTTTTCTGGTCTGCTGAATTTGACTTGCCTCAATCTCAATTGGGCCAACAAGAACAAGAAAATCATAATTAAGGCAAATTTCAAAAACCTAACAAAACTGCAGGAGCTGAAATTGAGTGGGCTGTGTCTGAATGAGATCCCACAAACCATTCCTGACAGTGTGGAAATTCTCGAGCTAATCAACAACCAGATTATATTTGTGAACAACAGAAGCCTTGCTGGTCTAACAAACCTGACCCAGCTGTGGCTTTCCAGAAACTGCTACTTTGGAAATCTATGTGGAAAACCCATGGAGATTACCGACAACAGTTTTGCTGACTTGACCAAACTACAAGATCTGGACTTGTCTTCTAACAACTTGAGCCACGTTTCTAAAGGATTGCCCCAATCTTTAAGAATGCTGAATCTCGCTGCTAACAGAATACAGCACATATTTAAAGATGATTTTTCTGGATTAAGTCAATTAAAAACCCTTGAAATACAACAGAATTGTCCAAGATGTGAAAATTCTCCACGCCCTTGTGTGCCTTGCCCAAATGGTTTTCTTGACATCGACACCGAAGCATTTGAAGATCTCAACCATCTTGAGCTACTTAATCTGGCAGAAAACTCACTGGAATACCTCAATCCATCTTGGTTTAAGAGCTTGTATCAACTTAAAAGTTTGTTCCTTTCAGGAAACTTCTTGCTAAAAGCAGTTACTAAAAAGGCTGAATTTTTAAGACACCTCCCAAAGCTTGAAATAATTGATTTTTCTTTCAACTATATTTCTAAGATTTATCCCACAACAATACAACTTTCAAAGGACTTTTCGAAGCTTACATCTTTAAAAGCCTTGCATATGGAGGGGTTGGTCTTCCATAATATTGGCCCAGACACACTCAAACCTCTATATGAACTTAAAAATCTGACTGTGCTAAACTTAGGAACTAACTTTATCATTTACTTGGACGCCAATGTATTCAGCAAGTTCCACAATTTGAATATGATTTATCTTGCAGAGAACAGGCTGTATCCCATTCCAAAGGCAAACCCCCTTAAAACAAGATGCAGATACCCTCAGAGGTCAGACCTTTCTGTTTCATCGTTCATAAAACCCAACCCAAAACTGTTTACTTACGAGTTAACTCGCGGACTTATAAAGGAGGAGTGCTTTGAGTCAGGGCGAGTTCTAAGCCTCAGCTCTAACAACCTGTTCTTCATTTCTCCAAAGCAGTTTGAGGGATATGGAGATGTTGCCTGCCTCAACCTGTCAGGGAATGGATTTTCAGCGGCACTCAACGGCACAGAGTTTTCCACGCTGCCTAATTTGAAATACTTGGACCTGTCCTTCAACAAGATCGATCTGGCCTACAACAACGCCTTTAAAGAACTGAAAAAACTAGAAGTTCTGGACATCAGTTACAATCCGCACTACTTTAAAGCAATTGGGATAACACTTAATTTGAATTTCATTAAAAATTTGCCTGTTCTGAGGGTGCTGAATATGAGTCACAACTCCATTTCCATATTAACGACTAAAGAGATGCACAGCAAATCTCTAACTGAACTTCAGTTTACGTATAACTCTCTTGGATTGCTTTGGAAACATAGCGATGGCTCGTACAAGAAAATTTTCACTTACCTTACCAATTTGACAATTTTAGATATATCTCACAACTACATTAAAAAGATTCAAGCCAACATATATGAATATTTGCCCCGTAACCTCACTGTACTTTGCATCAGCCACAACATACTAACAGAGTTTTTATGGGACAAGCTGAAATATTTCCACCAACTTCGCATTTTAGATTTGAGCTTCAACTCTTTGACTTATTTGGCAGGGGACAACTCAACAATCAGCCACTCTTTGACTTCACTTGATCTAAGCCACAACTACATTTTCCACTTGGAAAACAGCTTCTTTAACGGCTTGAACAGCCTCGAAACTCTCTTCCTCAGCCGCAATAAATTAAACATCATTAATCAAACGACCTTCCAACTGGGACCAGAGAGTAAACTTAAGACTTTGTGGCTGTTGAAAAACCCATTCCAGTGTACTTGTGATTCATTAGACTTCATTGTATGGATTGAAAAAAACAGAATCATAATTCCCAGACTGATGACTGCAGTGACGTGTGAAACACCGCAAAAGGACAGAGATAAACCACTGATAAGCTTTGACATTGCACAGTGTGTAAATTATGATCAGGCATTCCAGATGCACATTCTGACAAGTTTCTTTATTGTTGCCTTTATGTTTGTGGCAACAATTGCTCGTTTATTTTACTGGGATGCCTCCTATGTCTTACACTATCTGAATGCTAAGCTGAAGGGGTATAAATCTTTGCACTCACCTGAAAATATTTACGATGTCTTTGTAACCTATGACACCAAAGATCCACATGTCTCTGAGTGGGTGATGAGGAACTTGAGGGTAAAACTGGAAGAGGAAGGTGACAAGCATCTTCCTTTGTGTTTGGAGGAAAGGGACTGGCCCCCGGGAGTCCCTCTGGTGGATAACCTCATGCAGAGCATCCGATACAGTCGAAAGACTTTGTTTGTCCTGACAAGGGGCTATGTTAAGACCGGTGTCTTCAAGTTGGCAATGTATCTGGCCCACCAAAGACTGCTTGATGAAAACGTAGATGTGATTGTGCTGTTGATGCTGGAGCCTGTCCTGCAGCATTCGCACTTCCTGCGTCTCAGGAAGAGGCTGTGTGAGAAAAGTGTTGTGGAGTGGCCGAGAACGGCAGCAGCCGAGCCCTGGTTTTGGCAAAACCTGAGGAATGTTGTGAGAGTGGATAATCAAATTATGTACAACAAGACTTACTCAAAGTTCTTCACCAGCAAGTGACAAACGAAGACAATCAGTGAAACTATTCTGCAAAATATATATATTTATATATGCAATGTTAATTTTTGAATAAATGTTTGAGTTCAGTTTGAAATGTGTTTTGCCTCATGCATAGGAAGGAGTTTGATTTTTTTATAAATGCAATTAAAGATGCATTTTTGTCATTTTGAATTGACCTAAATGAAGATGAAACTTTCAGGATGCTTATACAAATATTACATTGTGGAAATAAATCAAGTCATTTTAAATATGAACACACGACTAACTCTTGAATTCTAGAGTCTACTGCCAGTCTAGAGTCAAATGATAAAAACAGGTGAGACCCAAACATCCTAAACTTTCACACAAACCTGAGATCTGCTCTGCATCCTTCTATTGTTGTAGTATCACGCTGCGCCGCCAGGGGGCAGCAGAGTAAAAGCCATGACAAGCAAAAACCAAGCTTCTTTTCTCCCTCTAAAGTATATCATATACTATTATAGTGACTATTATATACTACTAACTTATACAGTTAGGGTGGTATTATCTACATGAGGAAACGTCTACTGTTGTCCAGCTAATTGTGTAACTCTAGCTCTTAAATATAAATATTTATATATATTAGACGTATTTCACTAATGAGACACAGCTGCAGCTTGGCTGGCTAATTAAGATTATTTTTAATCAAATAAAACGCACATACTTCTCTTATATACTTGGTTACGTCTACGTTCTGTTCGAAGTTTCTCTGTATCACTTTTAAATCCGATTTTTATTTATTTATTTATTTTTACTTCACTTCCGCACAGAGAATGCACAAACCGTGACGTCATACTAATTAGCATAAAGCTGGTATTTATTGGATGAACGCGCCCCAGGCGTCACTCGGCTCCTTCGACTTTGAGACAAGCAGTCTGTGTCATTTCTCTGAGGAAACCTCTGGTAAGTTAGATTTTTTATTTTTTATTTTTTTTAATAGCCAAGTATATTTGCTTTAAATTAATTTTTTTTTTTTTTTGTAATTTCATGCGTAATGGTATTGAGTATATCTGTTTTAAGTGCGTGAAATGCCACAATTGTCACGTTTTGAGGGCAGTTTGTCAAAATTTTATCTTTCTAGAAATGTCTGCTTTGCAGCCTCGGCTTTTAAATTTTTTTTTTTTTATATATTTTTTTTTTCCTTCTGACTTGTGTTTAATTGAATAGTACAGTGTTTACCTCTCGCTACTTAACATGAACCCAATATGCTTTCAAGTGCTTCTTTGTCCTAAATGTTCAACTGGAACAGCAATTTAAATTTGAGTTATTGCCTCTCAGGTGTGTTTTTGATTTTAACTTCAGCTTTGTCATTTTATTTCTACTCAGCACCTCTGCAACCATGTCTGACAAACCTGATGTGAAAGAGGTCGAAACCTTCGACAAAACCAAACTGAAGAAGACTGAGACTCATGAGAAGAACACGCTGCCGACCAAAGAAAGTATGTGCTGCATAAAGTGTCTTTATTGATGCTTATTTGGTTGCTCTGACTAACACTGTCCTGTTTCTGCAGCCATCGATCAGGAGAAATCTGAGTCCTCATGAAGTCCAGCCCTCTCATGCACTGAACATTCCACATGCTTCGCCAACTTCATCCCCATTATGTGTATTTGAAGATGTAGCACTTACATTGTGGCAATGTTTGCAAATTCCTTACTTCAACTCGATGAGATGTCTTTATAAAAATGGCCTCGTGTGGGGATCTGGTCATCTGTAAGGTTTGCAGTGTGCCATTATGCTGGCATGTCAGGAAATGTAATGGACTTTATGATTCTGTTGGTCTGCTCCGGCCACTGAATGCTCACTAAATATTCCTTGTCAACCTGAAATGCACATGTTTAAATATGCAAAATAAAATCATACAAAATGTCTATGTTCTGAATTGATGTCTACAACTTGTCAACACCCGAAGGTGCTTCCTCGGTGCCTAATGTCGTCTTCAGATAAGTGAAATGTAGGTAATGAAAAAGTGTAGTTGACGGCATGTATCCAGTCTAAACTTTAAGCTAAAAGTAAAGTCAGGTCTGCTGGATTGACGCTTGTTAAAATCTTTCATCCAAAAGCTCAACAGTCTGGGCTGCAATAAACTTAAAGCACTTTCTAAAACTGGAAATGATCCAAAACTTCTATTTTTGGCAACTGGTTGATCCACTTCGAGAAGGTGCTTTTGAAGTTAATTACAGGTCAGGCTGAAGTCTTAAGAAAAAGCAAATTGTATTAACAGATTTTGTTTTCTCTCCACCACCACCACCACACCTGGTTTGAGCATGCATCAGGTTAATATGCTAAACTGAAGTCATTCCCCTACAAACTGGTATTGACTTGTATTTGATAAAAGTAGCATTCCACTTTAATGTGTAGCACAAGCTCAGTCGTTCAGTAGCTCTAAAAGTTGCCACTGAACAGTAATCTGTACAGATACAAGCTGCATCTGTGTGGGGAGACATGTAGCAGTTGGTTTTTTCTACAGCTGACTTGTTTAAAGGGATGGACACTGCAGCAAAATGGTTGCACCCCCCCCCCCCCCCCCCCCAAGCCCTTAACAATCTTTTCAGTCTGGTTCAGTTGGACAATTCTGAGTCAGCGAGTTCCCCTACGAATATAGTGTCAGGCTTGTTGAGACCCGATTGAAAGAATGTGCAAATGACTGAACACTCGAGCATTGATTGTGGTGAACTTGGCAGCAGATGCCAAGACGCCATCTGCCACTCTTGTGACAAAAGCTGCGAGACAGAATGCAGCTCAACGAATGACACATCCTTTACGTGTGTGGGGGTTGTAAATGGATTGTATACTTTTTTTTTTTTTTTTTTTTTTTTTTTCTTTCAAAAGGAACTCATTGGTACTGTAAACTGCTAGCTTGAGTGCTCTAACATGTAAATATCTCAACGGCTGTGTTAGGGCCTGCAGCTGATTATTTTTAAATGCAAGAGGAAGTGATGCAATCACAGCTACAGCAGCAGCGTGGTTCAAATCGTCTTGAGTTTCTGCTTTCTGTCTTCAGCCTTAAAACAGAAAGCTCAGCCTGCAGTTTATCTTCTGTTTGCATGACAAGACATTTTCACATGATTGAACCTTCGAGATCAAGTTCTATTTGTCGCTCAGGTTTATTAGTTTGTAAGCAATTTTTTTTCACTCCATTCTTTAAACCGATACGTGATGATTCAAGAAATCGTCAACCCTGTAGTTTTTTTTTTTTCCCCAACAGTTTTTTGTTTACAGATTTTAATTGAAACAAAAATTTTGAAGGTATAAAAGTTAAACTACCTGTTAAATAACACAAACAAAATAAACCTCAACTTTTAAGTACTTTTTATTTGTAGACAATTTAGTTCTCGACACTTATCATGTAAATTTTGTATAAAAAGTGTAAAAAAATGGCAATGGTTAAGTGTTTTGTGATGTCATTAAGAGAATTAACTATTAAGCATGTGCTATTTAAAATAAATACTTAAAATGAAGTTGGTTTAAAACTTATTTATGTGGCTTTACATATAATTCCAGATTAATTCTGCCCATGTAAATGACAGGTTTCCATTTTCACCATTAATTAAAAATAGCAAAGTCCAGGACAAAAGTCTTCATTATACTTTCTGCGTCAAAGTGCACACAATTCATCTTTGTCCTCTTTTTTTTTTCATGGCATGGTGGGAAAAAGTGAGTGAAAGAGCAGACACAAAAGAGGAGGGTGTGAGCTGACCAACACACAAACACAAAGGCAGAGCAAAGTCCCACAACAGCTGGAGTTGCAGCTGAAGGGAGGAATCCATAAATAATTAGCAGAGGTATTGAAATATTTGTGTTCATTTTAATAAAAATAAAGCTATAAATTTATTCAAAACCTATGAAGCAAAGGCAGTGTAAATAAAGAGTTGCTTGACTGGTTTCTCTTTTTAAGTTTTTTTTTTTTCCTGGTTAAAAAGGTAAATAACTTATTAGCGTTTTGTAAGGTAAATCTAACAGCTTACACTGATACGAATCATTAAGTGAAGGGTCATCTAACAAAATGCACAAACAGCTAAAACCTTTAAACAGAATTAATGATTTTGGAATGCTAGGAGATAATAGACACATTTACAAGATAAATTGCATAAATATTCCTCAGATATTTATTTTATACTGAGCATGTGGATTCATGATAGGTAAAATGGAGATTCTAACTTGAATTCAGGTGTGTGTGTGTGTGTGTGTGTGTGTTTATTTAGTGTTTTTTGTGTTTTGTAGCACTGGCCTGTTTAAGGAGTATCGTGCCTTTTACCTGTTGGTCACTGGAGATAATCACCAGTTATCTGCAACCTCAGGAGAAAATAGATACACTGATGCAGAAAGAAAAGCTTTGCAGAGAGTGGTGAAGGCTGCACAGAAGACTGTAGGAGTCAGCCTCCCTACCATCACAGACATCTACATCTCTAGATGCAGGAAGAGGGCCACCTGCATCATGAAGGACCTCACTCACCCAGCACACACACTTTTTGCCCCACTCCCCTCAGGAAGGAGGTTGAGGAGCATTAACTAGACTGAGGAACAGCTTCTACCCTGAGGCTGGTAGACTCATGAATCTCTAACTAGAATAATCACTGTGAAAAACCACATCATTTTGCTGCTGATTTGTTTCATGTTGCTGCTGATCTGTTTCAATGTTGATGTGTTCATGCGTGCACATCCGCTCACACAGACTCATGTTCATGTTTGTGCTGATGTTCAATGTTTTTATGTTATGAGTGCCTAGTGTATATTTAGTTGATGTTTTTCTTAGTTCATATCTTAGATGTTATTACTGTTTTTCTTATACATTTTATTGATGGATGTAACTGGGACCCTGTGTACATAATTTTGCTCCACCACATGTACCACATGAGGTACGGATGACAATAAAGAATCTCTGACTCTGACTCTGATGTTCATCTCTTCAGAACACATTATGATATCATCAGCATAAAAGTGTACATATGGGATTAAACTTTCTTCAACGTTCTTCATTGTCATTTGCATCACATGTTGTACATGAGGTGGAACAAAATTGTGTATTCAAGGTCCCAGTTACACCCCAAAATAGCAAAAATACAAAGTTTAAAAAAATAAACAGTATACAAGGATTCAAGATTTATGCTAAACGTAGAAGGAGGTGATGAATGAGCTTCCCAGACCATCTCGCCTCAGCTGCCTGAGAAAGTAGAGTCTCTGATTAGCTTTTTTGATCAGGCTGCTAGTGTTGTTACCCCAGCTGAGGTTGTCATTCTGGTGCACACCCAAGTACTTGTAGCTATAGAGACCACTTTCACCACAGATACCCCTATGTTCAGAGGGGTGTGGGTGTGTTTGCTCTGTCTGAAGCTCATGATCATCTCCTTCATCTTCTTCACGTTGATGTGAAGGTTGTTCTTCCTGCACCAGCTCTCCAGGTGTTTCACCTCCTGCCTGTAGCTGGACTCATCGTTGTTAGTGATACATCCCACCACCGCTGTATCATATGCAAACTTTACAATATGACAGCCTGGATGGATAGGTGCACAGTCATCCATGAGCTAAGTGAACAGGAGAGGGCTCAACACACAGCCCTGAAGGGAGTCGGTGTTGAGGGTTATGGTGGAGGAGGAGAAGTTGTGGATCCTCACAGACTGTGGTCTGTGAGTTTAGAAATCCAGGACTCCTTTCCAAACTTCACCACTTGCTCTTGCCGAGATCGGTCACTTCTCCCCTCCCCTCCCTCTCCGCTTTACTTTGCTGCTCTATCTGTGAAATTGCTTCTGAGCCTCTCTTGCATATCTTCCGAACCATAATTACGGACTTGTTTTGATCAGTTGGTCCCTCAACACAATTGATAACATTTCTTCGAAGCGAAGACAGGCTTTAGGCGAGCCGATCTGCCCTGTTGGCACGCACACAGCTGGATATCTCATCGACTTGGAAGACTTGATGATGTGTCTATCTCTGCTGCCATTTGTGGATTTTAAGGACGCATATTTAATTGGATTTATGATTACTGGTTCCTGCTTTTTGGATTCGGCTGGTTGCTGGTTTTATCAACAATCAAGGAAGTTGTCAGCAGCAAATTTGGACCCGATTACGCTGCTTGCCTTATGATGGCTTGGTTCGTGTCTCGAGTACACAGACTCAAATGCTTTGGGCAGAATGGATCAGATCTTGGGGCTTTTACTCATTCACGTTCCATCGGTGTGGCCATGTAATTTGAACATTCCGGAACCGAGTGGACCAACAGAGATGCAGATCTGTAGATTTCATTAAGTTCTGCCTGTCCCCAAAACAACTGTGTGTTTATCTGAATTCGATTCCCTTGGCTGGCCTTGAAGGCCATCTTATCTGAATTCGCCTGGAGAACATGTGATCTGATGCTCACCACCCCCTCCCTGAGGAATTTCCAACTGATAACCAGATAAAACCAGCTGAATAAACATTGTGTCATCATTTCAGGACTCTTTGATTCTCATAGACGTTATTCTTGCCCATTCCTCGACATACCTCGAGAATGTTTACGGAGCTCACCGGAGGACGCTGGCTGATTATTACATCCTCATCAGAACTCTTACAGGCGTCTATGGGCATGCTCACGACTCTCATCGTCTCCTCCCCTCTGCAGAATGTCTACGTTACTATGTGCTTGTTTGTGCGAGGTGTTTTTTAATATCAGAGGGTTTTTTTTTCTCAGGCAGGAAGAAAAAGTCTGAAAGGAATTTTTTTGCCTCCAATTCCTACGTGTCCAGTTTCACTACTTGTTGTCTGTCTAAACAGATCTCATTTGTAAATGTCTTCTACGCTCATTGTGACTTATCTGTCTAAATAAAGGTTGATTAGTCCTAATGCGAGTAGTTTATTCCTTACTAAAGATCATCATGGACTATTTGGTAAAATG